AGGGTTTAAGGGTCCACGTGTCCATATAGTGTATACTTTGGCCCCAAACCTTTTGTAGGGACTACTTTAAGGCCAGAGTATATACTATGCGCAAGTGGACCGTTGTTGAGCGATGCGGAGGCTCTTGAAAGCTTTCCTATCAAGGGTTCTTTCAGGGCATCTGGAGGGGTTTACGATGGTTTACGGCCTTTTCTGGCTGGCTGTTTTGGGTTCAGGCTTTGAGGATACTGGGGCTTGAAGTTCTTCCAGGTTTTGGGGTGTGCCTGGACCCTGAAAGGATTTTCAGGGCTAAGATAAAATTAACACTGGAAGTTAAGGCGGGGTTGGAGAGTTTAACATCAGAGCTGCAATGTCCCCCGAGGCTCTCTGAGAGCCAAATCGGATGTCTTGGTGCTATTTCAGAGAATGGGGCACCCTTCTCAATCCTGACCCTCAGTTTCAAGATAGGAAGGCCCCTCCTCAAGAAAAGGCCAGGGTCAGTACGGCTGAAAACTATGGAGCACGATAATTTCAGAACACGAATACGTAGATGCCTTGCTGTTCAAACCTCAAGGTTTAGGATTTAGGGCTTAGGGTTAAAGGGATTGTTCTTGCTACAGTTCAAACTTGTCGTGCATGCTTCCTGCCAAAGCATCCATGCTTAGCTTTGGAATTCGTTTCTTTCCGGGCGAACACCATCTTAGTTGCTGAGTTCAAAAGCCCCAGAAAAGTGTACACTTTCAGTTTTATAGTGGGTAGTATTATCCCAAAAAGTGTAGAGTGTATCCGCTCAGCCACTAAGCCACAAACATTCAGCTCTGTATGGTCGAGGCCTGTCCGAAAACCCTGTGAAATGCACCCTGCACCCACAACATCCAAAACCTTAAATCCTAGAACCTGCACCGATCAAAAACAAAAAAACGAAACACCGATGATTCCTAACATCATCACCCTGCGGGTCCAAGTACCTAATAATTCACCCAAATCATAAGCTACATAACTACGATCCTACAATCGAGGTCAGAGAAACTTTACGTTTTAGGGTTTAGGGGTTTAGGGTTTCCGAAACACCGATGACTGCTGACATCCCCAGAAGAACCCTATTTGGGTACGTTGACCCATTAAGGCATTAAGGGATGCCGATGATTTCTAACATCCCCAGACGACCTCCAACATCACCTGCAGCTGCTTCTTGACGTCCTAGTCCGGCTGAGTGGGCTCGCTTCGGGTTGAGAGGTTAATTAGGGGCTTTAATCTATAATTAGAGCAGGGTTTGGGGGCTCAGTATACTATCATTGTAATAAGGAGCCTCCAAAATAGTAATTATGTGTATTCAATTCCCCTAATTTGGGGTCTATTGCAGGCCATCTGCTACGGGCTCTGAGTCCGTGGGTGAGGAGAGGATCTAGGACACGGAGTGTGATGGGTACTCAGATGGAGGAGCAGGCATGCTCTCGACAACACGGTTTCGGGTTTGCAGATCAGTGTTGGTAGGCTTGCAGCCGCGTCCACAGAAAATGAAACCCTAAAACATACGCCCCAGGCCCGATAGCAAGTCAGGCCGACCGATCCTTGAACCCTAAACACAAAACCCCAAACCCTAGACCCTAAGCCCGAAACCCTAGACCCTAAACCCTAAACCCTAAACCCTAAACCCCTAAACCCTAAACCCTAAACCCCTAAACCCCTAAACCCTAAACCCCTAAACCCCTAAACCCTAAACCCTAAACCCCTAAACCGGGGAGTCATTGGGGTCTATACTCGTTTCTTCCATGCTCTTTCACTGCTGGAGCTTCGGAAGATGAAGGCGAAACACTGTAGCGACTTTCCGAAAATTAGGGGAACCGTATTTTGGTGTCCTTATAATTTATAATAAGGATCCGAGTATTTAGGGAACTATATTAGGGTCCCCTATGTTCGGAAACTCGAGAGCACAGCAAAGAACAGCCCCATGCCCAAACTGTGAAATCTGAAAGCCTGTCGCGGAGTTGATGAAGGGGGGCAGGCGCCCCCGAGATTTGCGAAACTCCAAGCCTTCCTTTGAAGCGCTCTTAAGTTCCTGTAAAGGGCTCTTCAGTTCCTTTAAGCGGCTCTCCTGAGAAAGCCTCTTGAGCGCCGTCTCAGATGGGCTCGCAGAGCTTTGCCGGATGCCATCACCTGGGCTTCTAGGACTGTCAGGGGTTCAGGGGTTAACGGCTTCGGGGTTTAGGGGTTTTGAGGTTTGGGGTCAAGGGTTTGAGGGGTTTAGCCTAGGGGCTTCCCCTGAAAATACAAAGATTTACCGCTGTAAAGGCTCTATAGATGACATATCATTTTGTAGTTTTCTGTACGTTTTTTCTAGAGCGTAGGGTCATATGTCTAGGATAACAAGATCGAAAACAGCGGCCGTACATTTACGGCTTATGTGAGGATTTATGTTGTTGAACTGTGTTTCTTTTCTTGGAGGATATGCTTCTTGGCTCCGAGTGCTGCGTGGCAACATTACATATGGGACGATTTTCGTGCGGTGATCTTGGAAGAAGGGTATAATTGAAACTCTTGGGTTCCATCAAGCCCTTGCACTGTAGAATTAGGTGCTGTAGTAGGCTTTACCTGTGGGCATGTGCAGTTTGGCGTGAGGGCGGGGGGTCCAGGGTTAGCCTGCATTGTAATTTCCCAGAGAGCCCAATACCCCTTAATTCGGGAATATAGCTTGAATCATAATATGAAGCCCTATAGAATTCAAGCCATATTCCTTAACTAAGGGTATTGGAGTCCCCTAGACCTAACCCTATACCCTAAACCTTATAAATCCCTTATAGATCCCTTTACAGAACCCTTAGGGGGTGTATTCCTTAATTAAGGGGATTAAGGGCTCTCTGGGTTAGGTTGAAGACGTTGGCTTGGGGCTCAGTGCGTGCGAAGTTGAAACCAGGTCACTGGTCATCACTGGAAGAACACTCGAATGCAGTGGGCTTAGGGATTTAGGGATTTAGGGTCCAGGGCTAAGTCGGCTAAGCACCACGCCGTCATCGTCCATCGCGGAAAACGAGTCCAGCGCCTGTGGCTCAAAGTCTCGGGTCGCGAGTCTGAGATAGGAGCCTTGGGGTTTAGCCCTGCAGAAAAGGTTCGGGCTTTGGGTTATGCAAGTCTAGGGGGTCTATCAGGCCGTTCGCCATAAGAAAATTGAAAAGGAGAAGGAAGGTTTTAGGTTACCAAAGGTGCAGAGCCCAGGTCTTTCGGTAGTGGGGGTGCATTGGGCACAACGAGGCAGGGGTTTTAGGGCTTTACGGGTTTGGAGGTTTAGAGTTTAGAGCATATAAATCCTGCATCACCTTAAGGACCCTCAACTATGGGAATTATAGTATCTTCCTCGTAATGGGTAATGCATGACTTATATCCCTAAACCCTAAACCCTAAAACCGTATACATCCCTTAAAGGAACTCCTTTTAAAGGTACCCTTATGTGGCCCTGTGAAGGAACCCTCGGATATATATCGTCAACCGTACCGCATCTCAGACTCGAGAATCTGAGGGCAAAAGGAGGGACCCTTAATAAGGACCCCTAGGTATATACCCTTAATATAGCTATTATATACCCATTATATAGCCCATTATAGGGTATCCCCATTAAGGGTCCCTCCTTTTCGCCTGTGATAGACTTCAGGTCAGACAAGTAAAAACCCCGAACCCTAAGTCTCCTTTTTACTGTAAAACCCTAAGGCTCCTATGCCCTGGCATCGAAGGCTCCTAAACCCTAAACCCCAAGGCTCCTAAACCCTAAACCCAAGGCTCCTAAACCCTAAACCCCAAGGCTCCATGAACCGTATGTCTAGCTGTTATAACTAAAAGTTGTGTTAGCTTGAACTTACCATGATGTCAGATCTCAATCCGGGCTCCGGCCTCTTTACAAAAGAGGCTTCAGAGTGTGTCTGCGTCGATGCTTTTTGTATTTTATGTGGTAGGTGAGCTACAGTGTTCAGGGTATGAAGAGAGACTCGACTTCCAAAATGGACCTGACTCTCCTCTCCACCCCCACTGCTATATTCAAAGCACTTTAGGGTGGCGGAACAATGCCATCGATGATGAGCTTTGCAGGTCTTCCAGCACATGCAAATCTCCTCCCAGTGCCTCCCAAAGCCTACACCCTTTGCCCTGCCCTGGAATGTGCACAGAGCGAGTTGCTCTGCTAGAGCCTCAACATCCGCGAAAACCATCGCGTGGCAACCTTTGACCCTGAATTGCAGGAAGCTGACGCTCCACGTGTGAAACGGATTAGGTCTAGTGGACGGTATCACACTTCGGGCATGGATGCTCTGGGATTACCTTGAGGTCCTATAGAGGAAGTTATCACGGTCCGGACATGGATTCTCTAAGATCACGGATAACGTCTCCGTAGACGTTATCACGGTTCGGGCATGGATTCTGTGGGATCTGGGATAAGGTCTCAGTGGACGGTACCAAGGCTCTGGGTGACGTCCCAGAGGACGCTATCGCGGTTGGGGCGTGGATGGTCTGGGGTGGCGGAAAAGGTCTGAGAGGATGTGATCACGGTTCGGGCATGGAGGCTCTCAAATCACAGCGCCAGTGGACGTTATCAGGAAACGCTAGCTGCCGCCATGTTCTCTGCACGAAAACCACACGAAACGCCGTACATGGGATGGTGTCGCAGTGGAAACCATAGCAGGCTAATTATATTTTGCGATATGCAACCCCCGCGAAACACAGTAAATGCCCATGTTGCCGGGGTGCGCGCGGACAGCCCGTCGGAGCTTTAAGCAATAATCAACCCTTGACCCTAGGCTTCCTACAGTCCCTCGAATTCTGGCATGAAGAGCAGATATTTCTAAGCTTCTAAGCCTCACGCAATCGGAAGCCCAAAGCCCTCAACCCTAGCAGGCCTCTGAAGCCCCACATCATATCCCCTAAGGGTCCATGTACCCAAATATCATATACTCTGGCCCCAAAGTACCTATATAGGGACTACTTTAAGGCCAAAGTATATACTATTTAGGTACATAGACCCTCAGGGATCCTTTCCCTAAGACTAGAAGCCCAAAGCGCTAAAACTCCCAGTCCTCAACTCTCAAAAGCTGCGAAAGCCTATCGTTTAGAAGGGGCCCCCACCCTGTAATACTGTTGATGGTATAAATCCTGCATTACCTTAATGACCCTAAACTATGGGAATTATGGTATATTCCTTATTATGGGTCATGCAGGATTTATATCATCAACCGTAGTGACTATAAGGATTATATTAGGGCCCTGTTATGTTCCTATTATATCACTATTGCAGGATGGGGGCCCTTCTAACCTATCGTCGTTCGCCACAGACCTGGGCACCAGCCAATCAAAACCACTCGTCGAAACCCAAAAAGCCTTGCGTGGGCACTTTCAGGAAGCCTGAACCCTCAATAGATTCAATAGACCCTACATATAGCAAGCCCTCAAAAACCCCTTTTGCGGCCCTCAAAACCAAAAGCAAAAACCCTCTCACAAGAACCAACCTTCAAGGAGACCGTGCGCGAACAGGCATCAACTGACACGAACGTATATAAGCTCCAAACGCTCGAAACCAAAACCCTGAACCCTAAACCACATAACAACCCAATCAAGAAGTCCAGAAACCCAAACTCCCCTCCCCTAATCTCTGCACACCAAGCCCACCCTCCACCCCTTTCCCAAAAAAAGGTCCACGGGGCCTCCCAACGGAGCCCTTATGGTGATTAATTTAATAGTAGGTCTTGAAGGGTCTATGAGACGGTAACATAGGACCTTAATGATTACCAATACCTTTGGGGTTCCTGGTTAAAGAAATAGTATAAAGGGCTCCAAAACCCTATTCTAACTAATTATGAAGGCCCCGATACTATAGAACACTACTATAGATCCCTTATAGCCCCCTGTAAGGAACCCTTAAAGGAACCTTACTCTAATTACAACTCCTACTGGGAGTAGGCCCCCTATCGTAATTCAGGGTCTACGGCGCACCTCCTTGAGTCGGCGGCAGACATCTTGCGACCGGTTTTGTGATCCTGCTTTGGGGCTTTCTGTGGCTTTTAGGCGACTCAGGGGTTTAGGGTTTTAGGGTGCCAGGGATTTAGGATTTAGGGTTTAAGGGTGGTAGGGTTTATGGGCTGTGGAATTACGGGCTTTGGAGCTTCCGGGTTCCTTCACGGGAGGTGTAGGGTTTGAGGGTTAGGGGTTTAGGATTTAGGGTTTAAGGGTGTGAGGGTTTATGCTCTGTAGAATTATGGGTTTGGGGGCTTTCTGCTGCTTTTACGTAAGCGAGTTAGGGTTTAAGGGTGGAGGGGTTTAGGGTTTAGCGGTTAAAGTTAGGGTGTAAGGGTTTAGGTTTCAAGGCGAGTTGAGATTTATGTGGAAGCTGTCTTGGGGCTCATGGAAATTGCCAGGTCCATCATTCCAATACTGATCCCATAACCCCTGCCAGCAGATCAACAGATCAGGCACCTTCAGCAGTCGGTGAATAAGACTGCAACTGACACCAACCATAAGTGAGGTCCTTGCCAGGCTTGGATATGACATGTCGTGCTAGCCTGGGCCTGAGGTTTAAGTAGCGGCATAGAGGGTCATATATACATGTGTATATATATATATGTATATACACACACGTTTTTTGTAGGGGGGTTAGCTAGCATCACAGTGTTCGAAGAGACCGGTGCTATCAGTCGCTACTGGCGTTTCATGCGGAATGTATAGAGTTTCTCGAAGATTTTTCTGGCGGGTTGGTTCAGCAGGTCCTCAGCCCTACACCCACACCATAAAACCAAATCCTAAACCGGGGGCTTACGGGGGTGGGGGGGTATTCTCAGCAACGGGAACACACCGACCATACAGAAACTTGCAACATGAGCAAGCACCCAGATGTCAACTCCCCAAACCCTAAGGCTCAATGTACCCGTGTAGTAGATACTTATAGGCCTGTATAGGGACCCCTTTAAGGCTTAAATATCTACCGTAAAGGTACATGGAGCCTTTGGGAAAGTGGCTCCCCTTACTCCCCTCACCGCTTACGAGGAAGTCGTCATTAGGCATCAGCGGAACTGCCTTCGGAGCCCGCCAGAGCTGGGCGCCCTGCGGAGTGAGAGGGTGTAGTTTTTGGGGTTTTAGGGTGCTCGGGTTTAGGGTTGCAGGTTGGGGTTTTGGGGTTCAGGGTTTAGGGTTTTAGGGTTTGGGGGTTTGGGGTTTGGGGTTTTCGGGTGTTAGGGTTTACGGGCTGTAGATGCCTTTAGAAGTATGTGGCCCAAATACCTAACACTTGGGGCTTGCAGGGCTTTTGGTTTCAGGCACTATAGAATTGTGGGGTTTAGGGTGTAAGCTTCAAGTCATTGGTTTTAGGGCGTTGGCTCTTGGGGGCACAGCAGGGCGGATTCCAGGTTTTGGGAAGTCTGTAGCGTACATCATACATAATTACACAGAAAGTTGTGGATACATCTATATGTGCTTACTTGCATACTTACATGCGTACGTACCTACATCTATGTCCCGTACGTACACACATGGCTGCAAGGCTGCATACACACTAACATAGCATAGCTTAGCGCAGTATAGCGCAGGATAACATGTCGTTCCATGTCAGTCCCGTACACTGCATTACAGTCGTGCATTACACACGTACACATATACTGTACTTCCATACATATACATAATAAGTACGCAGAAGTACAGAGTTACAAAACAACCCCATACACAGCTCCCTCCCTCCCCCTTCCCTCCCTCCGTCCATTGATCCGTCCATGCATGCCTACATGCCTGTACATACACAGAGGCACATCTGAACAACTTCATGAGGAGTGACAGGTCCCCCCCCCTTTCCCCCGACCGCATCATGCTTCTTCTCTTCGCAACGTCTTGAAACGACTTCGGGTTCGGAGATCCAGGGTACATCACTACAAACTTGAGCCGTAGGCGTACGGTTGGGTGAGAGTTTCAGGAGATAGGGATTCCATATGGGAGTTTCCGACAATAGGGGAGCCCAATAGAGTACCCTAAGTAGTAGGATCCTCATAAGGTCCCCAAAATAAGGTACCCCCTAATTTTCGGAAACTCCCACGGAATCCGCATAGTAGGAATCTGTGTACGGCTTAGGAGCTTCCGGAACCGAAACCACCGGCTTTGGATTGCAAGGTAGGGGCCTGAATAGTAAGGGTTCTTTAAGGGATCTATAGGGTTCCTTAAAGGGATCTATGGGGTTTAGGGTTTAGGGTCTACTTAAAGGATCCTGGGACTTAGTAACTAGGGCTATAATTAGGCTAACTCTACTTCTAACAACTTATAACCCCAATTCAGGTACTTATAACCCTACTTACTAAGCCCCATGATCCTCCAAGTAGGGTTCCTGTAAAGGGGCCTATCAGAGCTACCACTATACGGGATCTTATAAGGATAGTGTGTAGGGGCCTGAATAATTGGACCAGGGTTTCGGGGTATATGATAAAGGTTTACTGCAATAAGGAACCTTTAGGAACAGCATTGGCAATTTGTCAAGCTCCTATAACCCAGAGGGTCCATATACACTGCTATTATGCAACTAAGTCCCCAAAATCATAATAAGGACGGTCTTTTGGGACCTAGTTCCATAGTAGTATATAGTGTACATGGACCCACTGGGTAATGACCATCATTCCACAGCTAGGGTGCTGCAAGACCTGCCTGACGCACGCCGCCACCAATCAAACGGCATGCAGGGGGCGACCTGCACATGGCTTCGGGATTGAGGATTTCAGTCTTGGGTTCTTAAGTGCATCGGAATTATATTCAATTGGGGTTTCGGGATCATGGAACATATTTATATGACACGAATGAAGCTGCCGAGACACTAGAGTCTAGGGCAGGCAGTTCAGAAGCTCGAACCGAGTCCTCATGCCACAGCTCCCAAAAATTACATCTCCGATATGGAGCTTAAGCCGCTTATGGCCAACTGCCTTACGGTTCACGTGGAACGAAACCATTGCACGTCCGCTGTCGAGGTTCTGAGCCAAACTCAGTGGGAGGGTAGGAGAACGCTCGTGCTTTATGTTGCCGTTTCGTCACGTCGTCGAACCCGTATCATGATCTCAGTAGACAGGCCAGGCGACAGACTTTGTATTGAATCCGGAAGCCCTGTAACTCTAGCACCTAATGGATACTCCGGCAAGTGGTTTCCGGCGCAACCGTGTGCAAAAATCTCACCGGATTCACATTTCAAGGGCGTGCCGCGGGAGCGTTCCGGACATTCCTCTGCTCATAAACACCTGGACGCCCAAAGTATGTGAAAAAATAGCCGTTTATAGGTATTGGGCCATTGTTTTACCTACTTTGGGGGGGTTTAGGCAGAAGCGGCTCCGTTTCCAAGCTTGTATCAAGGCCCAGTCAACTGATTCAATCAAAGTCCGATGGGAAGACTGTAGAAGTTGTCGGAGGGTTTAGGGTTAAGGGGCACCGATGAGGAGCCCGCAATAAGGCACCTGAAGGAACAGAACCCGGCAGAAAAAGCTACTCTTGGGCCGGATATGTAGGAAACCTTCCGATGTGTTGATGCGTCGCATCGGAAACCAAGAGGCCTGAAACTCAATCCCAGTTGGTCATAGACCCTGAAACCTCATAACGCACTAGTGGATGGTCGTGCAAGCAGAAGAAGAATGCTGATAATCAGAAGAGCATCATGCCGCTGGCCATTATAACCACAGCGAAATAGCTTTTCGGTCTCATGCTCTGCGTGCTCAGGGAACCCTGGAACCTTCTAGCCTAAACTCGACTGTGGTCCAATCCCGACTGCTGACAAAGCGTGAGCCCTGACCACTGAGTCCGAAGCATCACTGAAATGCTTGAGCCAAAACCCGAACCCGAAAGTTTGAAGATGGACCCTTAACTCAATTCATTCGAAAGCCTGAAACCGGGCACAAGAAGGTCCCAACCTCAGCCAAGTATACTCTTTCCAATATACCCTGCATCTCTGAAATTAAAACTTACTCAGCAACATCTGAACCCACTCCACCCAAAATTCTGTACTGAGCTTAAACCCCTAGCAGACCTTACAGCTACCTTAAGAATTATAGGAACCAAAGGTTTGAAACAACAAAAAGTACCCCTGAGCATACTCACTACTCCCATGTCCCTGACTGAAGCGCGGAAGCCTCAACCCTGGATGCCCCCGAACCAAACCCGAACAGAAAATCCTAAGCCCTTTACCTGGCCTCGCTCGTCATGAGCGGGCACCGGCCCAGACAGAAAGGGCAAACCTGTGCTGCTGAGCAGAACTTAAAGTTTGGGAGCTTGTAATTTCCTAAACCCTAGACCCTGTAGTAGAAGCCAGAAATTTGGAGCATGGCTTTACGAGGAATAGTGCTGGGATCCCTTATGCTTTACCTTATACCCCACTATAACAGCATGCGGATAATGATGCTCCAACTCTCTGGCTTCTACTCTAAGCGACCCTACACCTTCTGTCTGAGGGTCAGGATTTGGTGACTTTTCTGGAGTTGGAGTGTTGGAGCGATTTCAGGGCCTAGGATTCTTGACACAGACCGACGGGTTAAGGGTCGAAGAGCCGCGTGAACGGTGTCTTGACATGGCATAAACCCTACTGCCAGAGACAGGAGTCAGGAGCCCCAAATTTTCACGTAGAAGTTCGGGGGCTATGGGTGGTTTTCAATATTAGGGTCCCTTTTAGGGTCCCTATTATAATACGGCACCTATAGTATTTAGGGCACCCAAAGAGGGACCATAATTTTGACAACCACCCATATGAATACAAAAACCAAATACTAGCGAACCTTCGGAATAAACAAACACTGCTACTACCCAGGCAACTCTGAGAAACCCTGAAGCCCATGCCACAACCATCCACCCATGCAATACCCTAAGGGTCCATGTACCCATACAATACATACCTTGGCCCTAAAGTACCTAAATAGGGACTACATTAAGGCCAAAGTATATACTGTTTGGGTACACGGACCCTTAGGGATAAGTACTTCAGCTTGGAAGTCCCCGTGTAGAGGCTTGATCCTTCCGGATCGAAGCATATGAGCACAGGAGGTACCTTATTTTGGGGTCCTGTTAATAAGGATCCTACTATTTAGGGCACTATATCAGGGTCCCCTGATTTTGGAAACTCCCATATGGGACGAGTAGCGGATTTACAAGAACATATAGCGCCCGGAAGCCTTAACTTGCAGGCACATGGAAAATTGAAATGCATGATAAGCAGCGCTACCTGCAGGTCCAAACCCTACAAAACGGTAAGGTATGATCCCTAAAGCTCTTCAATTACAGGTACTCGGACTCGCATAATTACCTGGACCCCCAAAGTATGTAGAATAATGGCCTTTTACAGGTGTTGCGTCATTATTTTACTTGCGTTTGGGTGCGTAGGTACAAAATACAGGCACTGGAATGCCAAGCCAATCCTGCAAGTCCTCGAGGACTCGAGCATCCGTTGAAGCCAAACACTATAAGCCCTAAAGGCCGCATGCATCATACACAAGCCCTATAACTTTTCAAAAGCAACGATTAAAGCCTCTACCTGTATGTATGTCCATATATATATATTTAATATGACTGCCAAAAGGAATAATTCCTCTATCAAAGCCTCCATAAACCTAAAATTACAACTGGCTTAAAAGCATTAACAAACCCTAATAAAGCCCCTATAAACCCCGAATCGATTCCTTGAGCCCTGTCCCGTCCTGCTGAAGCCAATTGCCCGAGGATTGTGGCTCCTTCCCCTTCCCCTTGCTTTCAGCACCTGAGGGTTTTAGGGTTTAGGGTTTAGGGTTTTTGGGGTTTAAGGTTTAGGGTGCTTTCAGCACCTGATTTGTCGGGGGTGTGGGCTGGTTCGGTTTCTCAATGAACGCCCTTATAGCATTTTAAGGGATACGATTTAGATATGCAGTGTGAGCATTGGAATAGGATGTCAGGTGTAGTCCTAAACGCTGTGATGCTTTGCCTGGGATGTAAACCAAAGTCGCTCATGTACCGATAGCAGGGAACAAACAGGACAATTCCGAAAAGATGGACTTGGCGCGGCAAACGCTACAAGTGTGCTCCTCCCTCAAGCCGTGTAGTTTCGGAGGATGGTAATTGAGAATGGCCGGACGCCGCCCATGATTCAAGGTTTCGGGATCAAGGGTTAACGGATGCGTGTGGTCTAGGTTTCATAGTCAAGGCCTCGATGGGTACAGTTCGGTTTTGTTGAGCGTGTACCTTGGCCTTGTTTCCCTGGGTTCGAATTCATGGGGATCTTTCTCCACAGGATGTGGCCACCATGTTGCAGACTCCTAGTGAAACCCTGGTAGAAGGGCGACCAGAACAGCAACACGCCTGGCGCTCCTAGAAGGCTCTAGTGACTACTTGGAGGTTCACGGGACAAAGTAACTAGGGTTATAATTAGGGTAACTCTACTTATAACTACTTATAACCCTAATAAAAGTACTTATAACCTGACTTACTAAGTCCCATGAACCTCCAAGTAGTGGCGTTTCTGGAACCCTTTGCACCATGTTTGAACCCATTGGAAACACTTGGGCGTGCTCTAGATCCTAAATCCTCTAAACCCCGACCCTGAACCAACCCTACGCAATACCCTAAGGGTCCAGATAGTATATACTTTGGCCTTAAATTATTCCCCATATAGGTACATTGGGCCCAAAGTATGAAATATTTGGGCACATGGACCCTTATATCCTAAACCCTTCTGGATCCCTTTAACGGAACCCTTATGGAAGCCCCATAAAGGAACCCTATTTGGGCACATGGACCCTTAGGGATATCCTCACTCCGACGTGCACTGCTGGGAATATGGGTGGTTGTCAAAATTATGGTCCCTTTTTTGGGTCCCCTAAATACTAGGTGCCGTACTATAGTAGGGACCTAAAAAGGGATCGTAATTTTGACAACCACCCATATGAGAAAGGCGCCCCCGACCCACACCGGCAGTCTCCAGGGGTTTAGGACTTAGGGCTTGGGATTGAGGGGATTAGGGCTTGGAGTTAGGGCCTATAGGGGTTAGGGGTTTAGGGCTTGGGATTGAGGGGTTTAGGGCTTTAGGGGTTCAGGGCTCAAGGGGCTTAGGGTTTAGGGGTGTAGGCTTTAGGGCCCAGATGTCAAGAAACGAACCTATTACGTAACACACCAAGCATAGTGAGTATATAAGCCGGCCATACCACCACAGCCCTAAACATGTCGAGACTTCGCCGGAAAGAGTTGCTACTAACGCGAGGCCAAAATAGCAGAATCTAGGGTGTAGGGATGTCTAGGGCTACGAGCTTTAGGGTCGTTAGGCTGGCCCGCCTTGCTCACGTTTCGGCGCTATGGCTGTGGTGGATCCGCTCGCTAAGGTTTGGCGAGGTCACAAAGCCTTAGCCGTCAGTCACACAGAGTTGCGCAAGGGGGTGGTCTGAATACTGCAGCGTCGAATGCCGGTGTTCATGCTGATTATGGGTGCAGCTATTGAACAGTGGTACTGTATCTTTCTTGGCGTCGTCGTAGCCGTCGTTGTAGTTGCGGTTGTGGTTAAGTCGTGGTTGTGGCAGTGGCTGCCGCCTTGCGGCATTGGCTGTGGTGGCGGGTGCTTCTGGTTGTGGTCGTGGCAGCGCGCTGGTTGTTCTTGTGGTTGATGTTACAGCTTTTGTAGCTGTTGTTGCCGTGGATGTTGTGTCTGCTTTAGCTGTTGTTGCTGCATGTGTTGCTGTTGCTGTTGTTGTTGTTGTTGCTGTTGTTGTTGTTGCTGCTGTTGTTGTTGTGGCTGATTTTGGAATCACAAATCCCTGAACCCAAATTTCTGTACTACGACGAAAGCTCTGAGGAATTTGCAACCCTACAGTAAGCCTTTGTTTTATCCTGAAACCCCTTCATGCCAAAGTGCCCAAGAAGCATCAACGCTCATGACAGCAAGCCATATAAGCCCTCAAACAGAGCCCCCAAAAAGTACATAAGCAAAAATAAGGATCGGGATATCCCATATAAACCCCCTTATAATGAGCGCAATCAGGCAGGGATATCCCTATAAAGTGTTGTGCCTATGTGCTATTTGGGTCTCTAACTTAAATCCACCCAGGAGCTGTCGGATCCCCCTGCGCTGTCCGTGCGGGGTGCGGAAGCAGGGTGGCCCAACCCCTGAAACTGAGGCTTGCAGGGGAGCTGAGGACCGGATGAAAGCTGGGCTTAGGGTTGGGGTTCAGGGGTTGGGATCTAGGCTTTCGGGGCTTGGTTTTCGAGGTTTGGTGTTGAGCTTAAGTCTTCGACTCTCGCTGGTTCGCGCCATGTGTTGAGCTAAGCTAAAACAACCAATAAAAACCCATGACACAATGAACGACCTAGCTTCGGGACGGTCTTCATGAAGCACTCGGCGTAGGTGATGCTGCACTTGCGCTTCAAGCCGCTAATGGCAACGGTATAGGTGTTTAGGGGTTTAGGGTTTACGGCTTTGGGGTTTGTAGGATTCAGGGGTTTGGGGCTTATAGGGTTTAGGGGTTCATAGGGTTTAGGGGTTTAGGGTTCAGACGGCTTCAAGGGTTCAGGGTTTGGGGTTTACTCTCTTTTTCAACAACCGGGCCCCAAAATGCTCAATCTTGCTACGATAGAGTTAATATACAAGGCCAAAAAGTTTTAAGGGTTTGGGGGTTTAGGTTACTGGTCCTTACCCTAAACCCAAAATCCAAAACCCTAAACCCCTAAACCCTAAAGAAGGCCGGAGTGTGCAAGCAGGTTCCCTTGGGGATTCAACTCCTCTGCAAATCAATGCAGATCAACATGGAAACCGACGCCTTGTCTGCATCAAGGTGGGGAAGCCTACCACAGGGACCTTAGTACTTAGTGGAGTCTTTTTTGATCGGGGTAGATAATACTATAATAATCATAGTGGGGCTATAAGGGAATGCTGGCACTACTTGTCCCAACCCCTGCAGTAGCCCCTATTGCAACTATCATGCAGCAAGGTCTTGCGGTATATTATAGTTTAGTTACATAGGGAATCTAAATTAAAGGAATACCGTGGAATACTCTTAGAATTGATTCCGGCACCATCTTCAGATTCTACGGGGCTAGTATCCGGGTAGTATCGGGGCATGAATTTACAATAAAAGCCAGAAAGTTGGAATATGATTATCCTAAGCCCTTTAAGGTAAATTATAAGGTATCCTACCCTGAAACCATATTCCAACTTTCTGGAGTTCCCTTTAGGTTTAGGAATTCGGCTGCTAGGGTATAAGATTTAGGAGTTTAGGGCCTAAAGGGCCAGGGCTAAACTTGAGGCCTGAGAGAAGTAGTCGTAGTAATTAGGGTTTAGGGGTTTAGGGTTTAGGGTTTAGGGTTTAGGGTTTAGGGTTTAGGGTCCATCTTCGAGGAAAATAAACACCCGAAGACCCTCGTCTAACTCTTAAGGCCCCGACGTTCTTTGGGTAGCAAATGAGAGGTACATCGGTACACATGTTCAGACTTGTAACAATGCCATAGCCCTCGGGTTTCTCAAGATGACGGCAGAAATCAGACTCAGCAGTGCATGGAGTACGGATTCGAGCTTTTTCCAGGCTTGCAGATGCTGCTTCCGGTTTCGAGTCTTGGAGACCTCGAAAGAGGACACACCTCTGAATCGGAAGCTGGCTACAGTCTCCTCGCTCCACGCATTGTAGTCATGAGGCCTAAACCCGAAACCTCAAAACCCCAAACCTCGGTCAGTGGTTCATACGTCCGAACTGCCAGGCTTTGCAGAATTTCCTTCTCCGAGCTACAAAGTTTAACTATCCCCGGCAAAAGCTAGGCCTGCTTTGAGTTCGGATTCTATCGCTGCCCACGGGAAGCTGAGGTGTCCACCTCTAGAAGGAACCCCGAAGGGATCCTGTCATCCTCTAACCCTAAACCCCAAACCCTATAACCCAAACACTTAAACCCTACCAGGACCCCCCAAGTACCCTTTAAAGGGCTCTGATATTTCTCATTAATAGGTAATTCGGGGCTACAAGAGAGGGTAGTTGGGGGGTCTAGGTAAAGCCTATACCCCAAATTACTTAAAAGACCTAAGCCCTAGTGTTTAGGCCTCAGCGTTTAGGCCTGGAGGATTAGGTTCCTTGCTCAGGCTCTTGGTTCGCTACTCCCGACTACAGGGGGCGGAGGCTTTGAGGAATATAGCGGGGGGGTAGGGTAGAGTAGAGTAACGGCAGAGTGGGGTAGTAGGGTTAGGGTAGGGTAAGGTAAGGTAGGGTTAGGTAGGGCAAGGCATCGTAGGGCGTACGGTTTAGGGTTTGGGGTTTAGTTCAGGCTTAAATTACGGGTTCGGACATTTGTTCAGTAGGGCTTTGAGATACATGGTCTTGCCATGTCTGATGCCTCCCAAAAGAGATATTGCATATTCTGCGTTTTGCTCTTTTTCAGCGACCATCAATGAATACTAGTAGCAGTTCTTCAGACCCCTGTGCCAACTATCATGCATAAACCTGCTACTGAGCCCCAGATTCCACGCTGTCGATGCCAACTCACCTGTGGCAGAAGCCGCACCTCAAAGGATCTGCGAGGGCCCGGGCTGTTGACATCTCAGATTCTGCTTTATGATGGTAAGCCTGTATGCCAAGGGTTCAAAGGTCACATGCAGAGGTTGGATGAATGCACCCCTCCTAATAAAAAGTTAGAGGACCCTTCTTGAAGGAGCTTAGACACGGCCATATAGAGGGTTGGAGTTGAGGTAAATCGGCTCCCAATAGCTCCAGCCCGCTGTCCTGCTGCACAAAACCCTCAACTCTGAAACCCGACTCGAGAAAGCCGCTAGTGTTTCGATGTACGCTCCCAGAGGGGCCAGAAACAGGCTTCTCTCAACGATAAACCTTACTTGGAGGTTTCTGGGTAGTTGGAAGTATGGCTACAAAAGCAGAACTATGGTTATAACCTATATTAGGGGACTTATAGCCCATCTTATAACTACCCATGAACCTTCAAGTACCCAAGACCTTAAAACCCTATCCTCACGCACTGGCATCTTCGGACGTAGCTGAACGCAGGCTTTTTCCCATGGCGAAATCTAGATGTCCCATGAATCCTGGATCTGACGATAGCTAAGGGGTCACGGTTAAGGTCTGTAAGGTTTTAGGACTATAGCGTTTACTTAGGGTGTAGCTTTTGGGGGGGCATGATGGTGTTAAAGCAAGAGTAGCCGCAATAGCTTTATTCAGACTGATACCGGCAACGTCAGCAACAGCAGTGGTCGTGGTCGCAGTCTCGGCCACGGTCGTCGTCCGCATGATAGTGCTAAACACAATGACCAACAACGATCTCTGGAACAACGATAACAACGACAACTGCAGTGGCAGCAGCAACGTCAACGGCAACGACCAAAACAACAGCAACAGGAGCAGGAGCAGGAGCAAGAGCAGGAACAGCAGCAGCAGCAACAGGCACCGGAGCGGCAGCCACAGCATCCGCAGCACCGTACCTGCAGCAGCAGCAGCAGCAGCAGCAGCAGCAGCAGAAGCAGTACCAGCAGCACGAGCAGCACCAGCAGCACCAGCAGCACCAGCAGCACTAGTAGCACCAGCACCACCACCATCACAAG